CCCAGTTCTCCAACAGGTCAACCTTACCTAAAGCTTTCCATGGCAATGGACCTAGGTATTTGCAAGACCGCCTCCTACCAAATATCTCCCTTCGACCAGTCCGCTCCCACAGAGAGGGCCTCCTTAGGGTACCGTCAGCCAGACAATGCCGGCTGGCGACCCCCAGGGGGAGAGCCTTCTCTGTGGCAGCTCCTGCCCTCTGGAATGACCTACCCCCTGACCTACGTACAATTGCAGACCTGCGCCTCTTCCGCCGAGCCCTGAAAACTCATCTGTTCCATGCGGCCGGCCTGGCGTAGTTTTGATTGGGTTTTGTTAGGGGTTTTATATTTTAGAGCAGGCTTTTATGTAATATTTACTGTGATTTTTATTATTGCCTGTTCACCGCCCTGAGTCCCGTAAGGGAGATAGAGCGGTATATAAATTTAAATAATAAATAAATAAAATAAAAATTTACAGAATTTTTGCAATATTTGTATCCCCATCATGCCAAGAAAACTGCATGGATATTTCCATATACATGTTTTGTTTGCAAATGTATAAGCAAATAGGAAAAAGCAGCAGATCTGCTTCCTTATATCGTATCTCAGAATTACCCTGCCTGCTATGATCTTTCCAGCTTTCCTGTCCACCCATGTTTGAGTGGCTGCAAAACATGCCAGAAATAACCATAGCTGTCCCAGCTGCCAATCCCTATCATTTCTCTATTTTACCTGTTCTGGGTCACGGCAGAGAGTTCTGCCCAGATTGGCAACTGCTCCACTCATCACGGGAGGGTGATCAGGGTTTGTTTGTTTTTCCTGACCTTGCTGCCATCTCCTTGCCACACATCCCTGGTGAATGGGGAAAATGTCTACCAATCAACGCACTGCAGCAGGAATGGAGGAGAACTCATTTCAGGACTCTGCCTGAGTTTCTGTAAGTTCATTATCTGCCTCTCTTCTCACATGCTATTTGGGCATCTCTCAAGTTTAAATAACATGGAATAATAAGAATAATATTAATTAATGTAGAAATCACCCTAGAGAGGAAGGAAGCAGATTGCCTGTGATGTTTGCCTAATTAAATAGATTTTATAAAGCAGGAGAACTGAAACTGAACTAGCCCATCTCTCTTACTTCATGGGAGGGGAAAGTGATTGAAACTGAAAAATACAGGGAAGGTTGCAGATATGCCACAAAAGCCCGGTTCAACATCTCTCCTTATGTTCTCAATAACAGCAAAAAATTAAAATGAGATTGCTCCACCTTAAAATAAAGATACACCTCCAACCACAACATTGTTAAAACAGAAGGGCCCCCCTCTTCCTAGCATGGCATGGCAGAGCATTAGCATAGTTTCCATTTCCCTTTTAAAAGCCTGGAGGGAACTTGGTTTCAAGTGTACTGGAGGGAGAAGATAATGGGTATCAAAGAAACTCAAGAAATAAAGTGGGAATGGAGAGGGGGGAACACTGGGAAAGAAAGAGTTGTGATGGAATTTAAGTGGCCAGAATAGAAGGGATATAGCCTCACCTCTTGACATACCCAAAATATATCTGCACCACACAAGTTGATTGACTTCACCTCCAAAATAAGGGATGACCTTGAAAATGTGATGGAACAGTGTTGGTCTGCAAGATGAGGGAGAGTATTATTTTAAAACTGGCAACCTAATGATCACTTAAAGAGGTTTTTGTTTCTTATGAAGTGATGAAATGAAGACATGATACAACCACGGAGCACATTGTTATACTCTGAGTAAAATTGTACCATCGTAAAGAGGAAGTGAAGGCAGGGTCTCTGTCTCATATATATTTCCTGTCTCATATATATTGTCTGGAAGAGGTGTTGTGATATATCACCTTTTCCAAACTCTGATGACTTACGTGTTCCAAATACTCCAAAAAATATCTATAACATTAAGATTTTTTTTTTTACAGAAGAGTTACAGGAACCACTAGGAGTCACCACATTATTGGTTTCATTTTTACTGGGACTCTTCAGATGCAAGTAGCATCCGAACCCTGAATATTGTTCTATGCGGTTGAAGACCTCTACAAGGAATTGAACTCACAGATATTCATATTTTAGATGACTACATTATATACAACACATTGCCTTAGGAGTTTTCTTCATCTTGGTATTCAGAAGCTGCAGTAGAGTTACCATAGAGGAATATCTATAATCTATTTGTAGTCATAATGGAACATTCTTTTGTTAAGTTTCAGATTCTAATCAGACTTTACTATGAAAGACTGAAAGATATCCGAACTGATCGGTAGCAGAAATCATTCAGATTCCCATCTGAGTGATTTACCATAAAATACCAAGTATTTCAGATTCTCCTTTAAAAAAATAGCAACAACAAAATAGCGCACAGAAAAACTCAGTCTAATATATTGAGAAAATGCAGAAAATCCAAAGTATAAGGGCATTTTTTTGTGTGAAGAAAGATTCTGAGCTTTGTTCAACTGTGGTGCTCATAATAAATGCTGAGACACAGAATTGATCCAAACATGTAATTTTTACCTTGCTAGCCAACTAGTGGATTTTAGAACTTAATAAAAGTCTGAGTAGATACAGTAAGCCAGTAATTTGCCCATCCTTGCTGTGAGATGGATTTAATATGTTATCCTATTCATAATAATAATAGCAATAGCCAGGAGTTATTTTGTCATAGAACGCCCAGAACTGAGTTCTGGCACCTTTTTTGGATGGAACCTTGTAGGGTAGGCAAGGCGGGTTGTATGACATGTGTGAGTTCCGGCACCTTTTTTTCTTTTACAAAAAAAGCACTGGCAATAGCAATAAGCACTTAGACTTATATACCGCTCCATAGTGCTTTACAGCACTCTCTGAGCAGTTTACAAAGTCTGCATATTACCCCCAATAATCTGGGTCCTCATTTTACTGACCTCAAAAGGATGGAAGGCTGAGTCAACCTTGAGCAGATCAAGATCGAACTCCTGGCAGTGAGCAGAGTCAGCCTGCAACATTGCATTCTAACCACTGCACCAAGATAGCTCTGGTCATTGTAACTATTCCATCACACTTAACTGGAATGTTCCTGCAACTATGGCTGTTTCTGTTATTGCTATGTTAACACAAGATCTTAGCAGAAGTGGCTTTGTAACCATTGCCTCCTCTTCCGGTTAGTTGCAGACTTTCGCCAGTGTTCTCATCACTCATGTCCCTGTAGATGATAATCACATTAATAGCTTCCTTTCCCCATGACCCTTCTGCTTATGTTATCTTAAAAATGGATTAAATAACTTCCAATTTCCTAACATGCTTTCCAACATAATTCTCATCTCATACAGTAGTCCCATGTGCCTTTTTCTCCCACATACATAATTATAAGTAACATTTTCTGTGGAATGCTATAATACTCCAATTCTATTCCAAAGAATCCTCAAGAGGTGCTTCCAGATAAGGCTTTGAATTATGCCTCCTTGTTTAAAAGTTTTGTGTATTGGTGGCCATCCAAGCTTTCCTGCATTTTCCCACCATTTCTTCCATCTTTTCCTTATCATTCACATTAAAAAAATAAATTAATGAGGGAGGGGAAGAATGGCTTCACAACGCTTTTTCGTTGGCCCTGAGCCAGAAGACCTTAATCTGGAAGTATCCTTAGGATTTAGGGAATTCCTCCAATGCATACAGACTGAGGCAAAATATCATCTCATCAGAAAAACTGTTACTGATTTTTTGATGCTTCCTGCCTATGTCGTCTTCCATGAAGCACTGAAAACTATCTTAAACCAGGGGCAGTCTGTTCATCTACCCAGTATTCTTTCCTCTGTTTGGGTTGAGACTCCCAGGCAGAGCATTTTCATATTGTTTACTGCTGGAACATTTTCACCAGAGATATCAAAAAAAACAAACCCCTCCCATATACAAAGCAAGGATTTTATCACTCAGTTGCGATTTCAGTGACTGCACTATTCTTCTATTCCCTCTCAAAACCTCTCCCTTATTCAGAATAGGCACTTGTTACGATATGGAATGATAAACTGTCACCAATTTCTTTGCCTCTTCTCTGCCTCTCCGCTAAAGTCCACAAAGCACACACAGCATGGATTCACACAATTATTGGTAACATCAGGCCATAAGGTGGTATGAATGATATATGGGAGCATGGTAAAGTAAGTACTGGTGTGCAGCAGATTATAAGGTTGCTACTACAGTTCTTGATATCACATTGGGAGGTTTAAATCTGAGACAACGGTGAAATAATTATTCAAAAATGTTCACTCTTTTTCACTCACGCCTTCATTTCATTAGTTCAAAGCTTCCTTTGCCTTCAAATGTCCTAAGTTCTAACTGTCTCTACCTGATGCATAACAACAAAAAGGCAAAATATTTGCACAGGAAAGCAAAAACAAGCACTGACAACCCTTCTTTACTTCTCAAAGTAATTGCCTCTAAATTAACAATAGGCAGAAATCCCAGATTTGTGTAGCTTTCACTTAGAGGATCACTAGCTGAAGATCTTTCAGATAAAAATGGTCTGAATCCATTTTTCTACTTCTTCAAAAAAAGTGTCCTGTCTTCATCACCGCAGAATGGAGCAATTGGCCGCTTGTTACCTAAGCCCCTACCTGTAGGAGGAGACACTGGCAACAACCTCATGAGACATGAGCTTCCTTTCATACGCTCCTTTTTCAGACCTGGCAGTCATAGATACTGGTATATGAATTTCTGCAAGCTTAAAGATAATTAGGATGCAAATGCTTACCTCTCTCAAATCTTCCCCATGCTTATGACCCCATGCATTTGAAGTTGCACTGAGGACACCAAATGTTCGGTCAAGCAGCCTGTCCTGCCTTGTTGTTCACATCAATCAGTATTCAGATTTTTTCCCCCTCCACCGCATTCTTCCCACCCCCTCTGTTAAACTTTCTCAAATAAAGAAATCTTTTTTGAAAAGTGATATCTGCGGGTTAGATTCCTACCTGCTATTTACATCCTCCCCCCAGGTTAGAAGATATCACCCCCAGTGCATCTGTTTTCCCTCACCCAATGAAGTATGAAATGATGAGCAGCTGGACAGCCCGGTTGATCACGCCGATGGTCCAGCTCTTTACCACCACAGATTTGGTGGTTTCATAGGTGAAGAAATTTGCTACGCACGTCATGCTGGAGGAAAGCATGGAGACTGAGGAACAACTCCAGGATGCCCTGCAAGCCAGAGGAGAAGGCCAAGGGTTGCAGTGATGAGGGCAGGAACAGACACCAGTGGTGAAAGCGGTGCTGGCAGAATGAACAGAAGACACTTCCAAAGGATATCAAGTTGGCTCCTTCCAGCTCTTCTCTGCTGCAACTCTGGGCCAGTCTGAAGTGCAGGGACCCCTTTAATAAGATCTTGCTCCTGTCTCCACTGAACACTATAATGATGCTGTCAGAGAAAGGTGGGGCTTCCCAGCTCATCAGTTACAAATTGGATTCCAGCAAGTATGTAGATGGAAGACATCTTAGCATTAAATAATGAATCCGCAAGTGCTGCATTTTCTTGAGTGGTGTTCCAGCCCTACAGACTCTGCTTATGTGAGTGCTGGGAACTTCACACAGTCGAAAATGGGGGAAGGGATCACAAACAAAAGAGGAAGGTTAAAGAACCTTAAAGAACCGTTTTCCTTGGAGACCAAATTGAAAAATGGGAGTTGTCCTAGCACAATCCTGTCTCCACTACCTTCCCAGAGTCTCAGATCAATGATAGCGAGAAGAGCTAAGTAACTGGATATCCGGTGAGAATATCTGTCTCCAGATACATCTTTCAGGCTCCTTTCCGAAGGCAGCATGTGGAGCTCTTTCTAAAGCATGTGGGTTCAGACTTATTAATGTTCCTGCTGGGGATGAGAGTGTATGTACATGTGCTTTTTAAATATTAATGTTCACCATTTCCACAAAAGCGATTTCTATGGTCATTGCTTTGGTGATATATGTGTAATGAGAGCAGTTTCATTACCAATGGCTTGGTGATGCTATAAATCACTAATGTATAAATGTTTATCATAATTACATTACTTTTATATCTTGCCTCTCCTCTGGGAGATCAAGACTGGGCAGTAGGCGTTCTCCCCACTTTGTTCCTACAACAGCAACCCTACACGATTAAAAAAAGTAGCTGGTACAAAATCATTCAAGTTCTTTGGTTGAGTAGAACTTGAACCTGGATCTCCCAAGTCTCAGTCCATCTGCATACCCCTTCTCAAAGTGCAAAACCACCTCTCTCTCTCTCTCTCTCTCTCTCTCTCTCTCTCTCTCTCTCTCTCTCTCTCTCTCTCTCTGTGTGTGTGTGTGTGTGTGTGTGTGTTGGGACAGGGACACTTAACTCATCCTCACCTAACCCTGAGAAGCAGTAGCAAAGTGCTAGCATTCAGCAGAAGATCTTGTGAAAAAATGCTGATTTCAGAGAATGCTGATTGTACTTATAGTCCCTGTTCTGTCTTGGTGCTAAAGTAGAATAGGGGTGAGATCTGCATGAGAAGCAGGAGGAAAAGAGAGGTAGGGTGCAATGTCTCCTCTGCAGCAAATAACTGACAGCAGACGACCCATCGGTTTTCTGCTCTTCGTTCTCTTATCCAATGGAGCGATCATTCCACAGAATCAGGGAATTGGTAGCCAATTGCTCCCTTCCTTTTGTCACCCTTTCTATGGTAGGAATAGCAAAAGTGAGAAAAGGAGAAGCGAATCTTAGAGATGCCAGCTGTCCAGAAAAAAACCGGAATAGTGCTTTCCTCCATGAAATGGTGGCTGAAGAGCCCTTTTATACGCATCCCTTCCCTTGGACCCCACCGTGTGTGTGTGTGTGTGTGTGTGTGTGTGTGTGAAGACCACTTGACATGAGAGAGAGAAAAAACATCCCTGAGGCTTTGGCCCTGCAGCATCAAAATGGAGGGGACAGAAAGATCTACTGTATTCTGGCAGGATATGCCTCTGCAGACAACACCCCTACAATAAAGCAAACCCACACTCTGGGCACTGTCTTGACTATAGAATATTGACTGAAGAACTGCATCCATCTCCCTTTGCACTGCCACTGGAAAGTCAATTATTACTCTTTGCTGGTAGTGGCTCTTTTTGATGCCAGGAGAACCAGTACTAAAAAGCCAAGTTCTCCACTTTCTCCTATCAATCTTTCACAGCACGTTCTCTAATTCCACATTATTATCACTGACAACAGAAAGCCCACTTCTTGGGTTTCTCTCTTCTGTTGACAGAACTGGTGTTGAAGGACCAGCTTTTTGTCTTCTTACTTCTGGTGCCATCTATGGGTTAGCAAGAGAAGTGGGCGAGAGAACTATTGGCAATCTCTCTGTCTCTCTCCTGATTCTCTTGCTGCCAACAGGCCCAGTTTATTCCCAGCCTTGAACAGCCCAGGATCTATTTTCATTCCATTCACATTTGGGTAAGCACGCTCCCTGGTTTTACAGACTCGGTTGAACGGTTGCTGGAATTGGGTATGTCTAGTTTAATGAAGAGAAGGACGAGGGGGGGACATGATAGCAGTGTTCCAATATCTCAGGGGCTGCCACAAAGAAGAGGGAGTCAAGCTATTCTCCAAAGCGCCTGAAGGCAGGACAAGAAGCAACGGGTGGAAACTAACCAAAGAGAGAAGCAACCTAGAACTAAGAAGAAACTTCCTGACAGTTAGAACAATTAACCAATGGAACAACCTGCCTCCAGAAGCGGTGAATGCTCCAACACTGGAAGTTTTTAAGAAGAGACTGGACAGCCGTTTGTCTGAAATGGTGTAGGGTTCCTGCGTGGGCAGGGGGTTGGACTCGATGACCTCCAAGGTCCCTTCCAACTTTATTATTATTATTATTATTATTATTATTATTATTATTATTATTATTATTATTATTATTATTATTATTATTGTTATTATTATTATTGTTGTTGTTGTTGTTGTTGTTTGCTGTTGTTGTTGTTTTGTTGTTGTTGTTATTATTATTATTGTTGTTGTTGTTGTTGTTGTTATTATTATTATTATTATTATTATTATTATTATTAATTATTATTACATGCAGACATTCTGGGCATTGTGTTCACCCTCAATCCTAAGTAGAAAAATGTCTCCCTTTTCAGGATTGCAAAGCAAGAATCAAGACACTTACTGTATAAGAGCAATAGCAGAACTGTGCAAGCCTCAGAGCAGGAAAACTTTTATGCATTCACTGCATATGGATACCTGAAGGATAACATGCAATGGCGGTGTGGGATACAAGATTAAAATTACATTAGGCAGGCTCTACTTTTATAATTTGGTGGCTTTTGAACATTTCCTCCCTATGAATTTATAAAGGAATTGTGGGGTTATTTTTGTAGATTATTCCCAAAATATGACTGGATGGTATTTCAAAAGCATTTAAGCCTCTGGGACATGGAAGGAAGCTCATCTCCCATAGGTTTAGCAAGAGGAACCTCAGTTATTCAAGGCTTGAACGATAATTACCAGTTCTTATGCATGGAAACATAACCAATGCAACTATTATAAAAGGTGTGTGAAATGCTTCACTTGAGATTGTCCGCCAATATCCAAGTTTGATTCCCTTGCACAAAAAAGTTTCAATATTGGTTAAACAGATGTGGCAAGAAGGATGTGAGTGTTGAGCACCTTAAACAAAGAACAACACATTTCACATAATCCAAAAGTACAAGCTGCCTCTCCCGACATGATGTTACCTCACCAAGCCCAGAAAGGACAGGAAAAAGTGTATAGTATCAAGAATCGTGCCCAAATTTGCTGGTTATATTAGGGAAAACTGTCCAATATACAGTAGCCGGATAAGCACATGAAAGAGATACACCTTTCAGAACATTTCTCTTCCTTCTATTACTATGATATTGAAGTGTCAGAGAAGATGAAGTCTAACACTGGGGTATTGGTTCAGTTGTATTCTCCAAGAGAAAAAATTTCAGAATTATTGTATCAATGACCTTTTTTGTACAAAGAAATTGCCCTGTGTCCTGTTGTTGTGCTTTATTAGCTGTGGCAACTGCTTGTTCCTGCAGTTTTCTTGGCAAGATTTCAGAAGTGGTTTGCCCTTGGGCTGAGAGAGAGAGTGACTGACCCGAGATTATCCAGTTGGCTTTCTGCCTTAAGGGAGGATCAGAACTCATGGTTTCTTGCTCTCTAGTCCCATGAGCTTAACAACTATGCCAAACTGGCTCTCTAGAATTAATACCTATATCATTTGGATAATTCATCAGCCCAGTACCTGGGAATTATAGACCAGTCCTTAATTAATAAGTAGAACAGGCAGGTGAACAAGGGTACCTGGCATATGGAAATTAGAATCTTTTTTTTTTTTTAAAGATTCTGATTTCCATATGCTAGGTACAGGGTTTTGCTTTAGCTCTTCATTTTTGTAGAAAATGTTTTTGCTATAGCAATTATACTGCAGTCCAAAAATGATCTATAACTGCTGAAACAAATGACAGAGTATTACTAAATACCAAATTGGGATTTTTTTTCTCTCCCTATGCTGTTCTATCACCTTCATGTCTCTAGATCTTCAGCTTCTATTATCTGATCAACTCAGTGATTTAAGAATCTGTTCAATTGTTCTAGGTAGCAGTAAACTAAGAAATACTAAGCAGTATCTTAAAAGACGATGCAGTAAAAGTGTTACACGCAAATTGCCAGCAAATTTGGAAAACTCAACAGTGGCCACAGGATTGGAAAAGGTCAGTTTACATTCCAATTTCAAAGAAAGGCAATGCCGAAGAATGTTCAAACTATCACACCATTGCACTCATTTCATATGCTAGTAAAGTTATGCTTAAAATCCTACAACCTAGACTCCAGCAGTATGTGGATCGAGAACTACCAGAAGTACAGGCAGGATTTCGAAGAGGCAGAGGAACTAGGGATCAAATTGCCAGCATATGCTGGATCATGGAGAAAGCTAGGGAGTTCCAGAAAAACATCTACTTCTGCTTCATTGACTATGCCTTTGATTGTGTGGAACACAACAAATTGTGGCAAGTTCTTAAAGAGATGGGAGTACCAGACCATCTTATTTGTCTCTTGAGAAACCTATATGCGGGTCAAGAAGCAACAGCGAGAACTGGACACGGAACCACTGATTGGTTCAAAATTGGGAAAGGAGTCCGGCAAGGCTGTATACTGTCGCCCTGCCTA